TGTAACAACGGGGTCAAACATAGCAATGATTTTGAGGATCATGCAGGACTGGCCAGTGTTTCATTCTGTTGCACACAATGTCACTGTGAGTCAGAACTGACTTGACTGCACCTTATAGCAACAACAACAGTATTTATGGAAGCGGATTGCCAAGTCTTTCTTCTGCAATGTTGATGGATGTGTTTCAACTGCCAGCCTTTAGGTTACCTCTAGATTGCAAGCTGCTTACACCTTTCAGGGACCTAAGTATTTCCTGGAGATCTTTTTTTCTTCTTTTACTTTTTATTGTGAATTGAGTGAAGGTTTACAGACAGTGTCATCAATTCTACATTCAACAAATGATACACTTTGTTTTGTCTTAATGATTGCAGTCTCCTCTGTGGAACAGCAGTCATTCGCTTCCTACCTGTGGCTCCTCTTTCCCTTCCATCCACCTTCCCATGCCATCTTGCCATTGTCTTTAGGTTCATGTTGTCCCTTTGATTTTGAATGATTGACCATTCTATCTTTCATGGTGAGCATATCTTAACTAGTGCTGTTATTCCCCCTCTATACCTATGTACTGCTAGGTTGAAAGTTGTCCCCCCTATCTACCTATCTACTGCTTGGTTGAAAGTTGTTCCTCTACGTGCCTATCTACTGCTTAACTGAAAATGGTTCCCCTATATTCCTATCTACTGCTTAGCTGAAAGTTGCTCCCCTATGTCTCTATCTACTGCATTGCTGAAAATTGTTCCTCCTACTCCCTATCTTTTGCTTAACTGAATGATGATGTGTTCCTTTTCAGGGTGGTTCCTGAAGGGTGGTTGAGGGCCACATACAGTTTCAGGTTCCTCCAGTCTGTTTCTGACTAGAACAATGGGCCTTTTTATATTAGTAATAATTTTGAGTTTTGTTTCGTACATTGTATCAGTCTATCCAGGACCTTCTAGTATGATCCTGTTGAGAGGAAGTAGTGGTACCTGGGCACGATCATTTCTTCTGGTCTCAGGGTTGTGGAGACTAATGTTCACATGTTACATCAGTCTTTTGGACTAGTTGATTGCAAGAATCTTCAATTCTCATCACTCTTCTTTCTTCTGCATATGGAGAGACCAATAGCAGCACCTTACATGGCCTCCCATGAGCTTATAATATCCCAGACTCTACTTACTAAAGTAGGATATAGAACATATATATATGTGTGTGTGTGTGTGTGTGTGTGTGTACAATATACATGCAGATATTTTAAACCAAAAAATACTGATTACTGCCTATTCAGACTCCTGCTATATGCACTATATTAATTTTTAGACACAATGTACATAAAATAATATATATTATTTGGACATAATGGTTGACATAATGGAAAAGCTAAGTCATTAGTATTACATACATCTAGAGTCACTGTCTACTTCTGCCAGCCACTTACCATCTGAACAATGGTAAGATATTTAAACTCCCTGAGCTCTAATTTCTGAAACAGGGATACAATTTATGTTTTAATGTTACCTTGAGGATTAAATAATATAATGTTTTAAAAATTCTTAGGATGGTACAACCTCAAGTCAGCCACTGAGTAAAATGGTAGCTGTCAGTATTATATGGGTTGCTGTAAATATCAATTTGTATTTTCAAGTATTAAATAAATTGAGTTTTAAGAATTTTGTTGTTCAGTGTCATCGAGTCGTTTTCAACTCATAGTGGAGCCTATACAGGGTTTCTGAGGCTCGAAATCATTGCAGGACCACAAAGCCTCATCTTTCTCCCATGAAGTGGTGGGTGGGCTTGAATTGCTGAGTTTTTGGTTTGCAATTCAGTGCTTACCCTACAGAGCCTCTGTGTTCCCCTTAGGATTTGTAGAATAATGAAAATGTGACTTAGTGTAGTATAAGAATTTGACTGGCATTATTAGGCTCTTTAGTTATATTTTGTTCATTTTTTAATAGGCAAAATCTCAAACATTATCCAGTGTATTGGATGTGGCCTATCAGTTTATAAAGGAAGTTAATCCAGCTGAATCTAAAGTGGAGAATCAGTCTACAAAAGAGATTAGTAAAAGTCGCCATCAATTGGAATCTCTACTTCATGGGAGCAGTTCTGAGGTAAGTTAAAGAAAATTGACTAGACATTTTCTGTCGTAGGTTGTCATGAATCTTAACCAGAGTTGTAGAGTTCTGCAGATTATTTTGTCTCATTTTTTAAAATATGGATTTTTAAAATTAATTAAAACTTCTTAACTTTGAAAATCTTTTCAAGGAAATTGCTTTGATTCTATTGAGCACAAATGTTTTTTTGATGAATAATTCTTTGACCATGTGACTTTCTGGGCTTTTTTGAAGAGCCAATAATTAAATGAGTATTTGAGAAACATAAAATCACACACACACATACAAAGTGACATAACAATTTCATATTTGTCAGGAATTAAGAGAAGTTATATCTTTAAACCTTGTCAGCCATGTTGTTGTTATGTGCCGTGGAGTTGGTTCCAACTCACAGCGATCCTGTACAGGGTTTTCGAGGCTGTAAATCTTTCCAGGAGCAGAAAGCCTCATCTTTCTCCCGTGGAACAGCTGGTGGTTTTGAACTGCTGACCTTGTGGCTCGCAGCCCGATTCGTAACCACTATGCTACCAGAGCTCCTTTGTCAACCACATTAGGTGACAGGAAATTGCACTTTTATTTGAAACCAGATTTATACTAAATTCTGACAGATATTCAGATTAACTACTGATCTAGTGATGCCCTAGAATAGACTTTTATTAGCTCATTTCAATATTTTTATAATACACTTATTGTATTGATTCCTTAGAGAGAAAAAATTTTTTCAAGAGAAAAAATTTTTTCAAATTTTGTTATATGTTATAATCCTTATTCATTTAGATGTAAATTCCCCTTTCCCTGTTGTTTAGAAAGAGTTACTTGCCAAAGTCACTGTTTGTGATTGGTGACAGAGACAGGGCTTATCTTAAGTCTTTTGATTTCCAAATCCATTCTTATAGAATGTAAAAGAAAATATGTTCTGTGTTAGTAGGTTCTCTTACCAGCAAAGAACCTGTTCTTGAATTGTCCAGGAAAATCATAATATTTTTATGGATTCTGCTTTTTAGACATACCAAGGATGTTTATACGAAGAATCACAAAATTTCACAATCACATGAACTCACAATAATAATAGTAGTAATCTATTGAGTACCTACTATATACTATCCTAAATATTTTAGTCCGTTTGCTTTTCCTAATGTTTTATTTTATTTTATTTTTTAAGAGAAAATAGTAGCAAAGAACTGAATGTTAACTAGAATTTCCTAAGATTTCACTGGTAATGGCACAAGGATTTGAACCTAGACATTCTGATTCTAATGACTTACTTGCCTTTTGCCACTATGCTGAGACTGTGGCTTCAAGTGTCTCTCCATCATGCTTGCCATTTTATCTACCTTATCAATAATAATAGTGATAAATCAGTAGTTGACATTTATTGAATAATTTGTGCTTTTCTGATCTTATCTCAGTCAATAATCACAATAGCAGTACAAGTTGTGAACTCATCTTCAACAGATGAGAAAGGCAGAAATATGTTATGTAATTGGCCTTATTGGAAAACCTATAGAAGTTACTCTTTTGCTTGCACTTTTAGTCACTACACAAATGCTTCCTTTTGTCCCATGAATGTCAGTCTATGTCTTATAGACCCTTCTGTCTTAACTTCAAACCAAATCCAACCCATTGCCATCAAACTGAGTCCTACTCATGGTGACTCTATGTATACAGAGTAGAACTGACCCATAGAATTCTTGTAATCATAATGGAATCCTGGTGTGGAGCTGTGTGTTAATGTGCTCAACTGCAAGGTCAATTTGAACCCCACGGTATGTGGTTCAAGCTCACCAGCCACTCCTCAGAAACCTTATACAAGGTCACTAAGGGTTGGACCCAAACCATGGTATTTTCAGTAACCTTATAAGCATGTGAAAGCTCAACAGTGAATAAGGAAGACAGTAGAATAATTGATGCTTTTGAGTTATGGTGTTGGAGGAGAATATTGAAAGTGCCTTGGGCTGCCAAAGAACCAATAGATCCATTTTGGAAGACATGCCACCAGAGTGCTCCTTGAAGGCCAAGATGGCCCAACTTCATCTCTCATACTTCAGACATATTGTCAGGAGGGACCAGTCACTGGAGAAGGATATCATGATTGGTAAGGTGGAGGGTCAGCGAAAAAGAGGAAGACCTCCAGCGAGATAGATTGGCAGAGTGGCAACATCAATGAGCTCAAGTGTGCCAATAATAGTGAGGTTGGCCCAGGATTGGGCATTGTTTCATTCTGTTATGCATAGGGTTGCTATGAGTTGGTACTGACTCAATGGCACTTAACAGCAGCAACAACAATGGTTGGAACTGACTTGATGGCACTTAACAGCAACAACAATATTAATGGTAGCAGAGTACTACATTTTTCTGCCCAACTGCTGACTCTTTGGTAGCAGCCCAGTGCTTACTACTATTCTACTATTGTTGTTGCTGTTCAGTGCCACGGAGTCAGTTCTGACTCATAGTGGCCCTGTGCAGTATTTCCTAGGAGCAGCTGATGAGTTTGAACCACCAACCTTGTGGTTCACAGTCAAGTGCGGATCCTACAGTGCCACACCAAGAGTCTACTGTTCCACTTAGAATCACTAATTCAGTGGTTTCACCTAGGGATATATAGTAAAATCAACAAAAGAAAGTTAAAACACATATGAGTGAGTTCAGAATTTCTATGGATGGGGTTCAGACTCATATGTTTTTTAACAACTCCTCAGCATTTCTGGGGAAGATTTCTGGTTGGGAGACACTTTTATAGACCTGTAAGTATGCCTGACCACAAGTGTGCCTGTATGTAATGCCTAGGCTAAATATGTAACTGTTCATATGCTTAGTATTCCTCTGGGCTGGAGATCATTGCCTCTATGTAGTACTCTGCTACCATTAATACTATAATAGGTATTAGAAACATTGAGTTTGCTGAAAATGTGCATTCCTGGGTCTGACACCCAAATGCTGGCTTTTGTCTACCTGGGTTAGGACTCAGGGATCTGATTTTTAGTTAGCATCAAGCAATTTTAATTTGGGTTGTCAGTAATAAATTTTAAAGATATTTTAACCAAACTTTTTAGATATTTGTGACCCAATTTTAAAAATATTTGTTACAAGAAATGTTTTCCAGAAGGTCCCCTCCTCTATCATTCTGGGCAGGTACTCCCCTTTCTTCTAGTCTAAAACAGTCTAAGGCCAAAATTATTATCCTGTGGAGATTTATATATGCAGTGCTGTGGTTAATGTGCTGGACTGCAAGGCTAGCTTAAACTGCAAGGTCAGTGGTTCAAACTCACCAGCCGATCCTTAGAAACCCTATACAGGATTGCTATTAGTCAAAACCAACTACAGCACTTAACAACAACATGGTTATGTATATTAATCTCCTTATGATAAAATCCTGAAATTCCTAGGTAAAAAGAGTATATGTGTTTGCCATGTTAGTAAACATACCCAAATGACAGTAACATCTTATTGGTTTCCTTGCTTCCCAAACCTCTGTTCTCTAATTTCTAGCACACTTAAATGGCTTTACATTAATAGGTTTAAGTTTAAGTTCACTAGCATGCAGGCAGAGTCCTTCATGACCTGCCCATGCTTGTATCTCCACCTTTTATATTTCCTTATACTTGACTTTGCTACGTCAATACTAAAAGTTCCATGCCCTAGTTTTTGTATGACTCCATATCTTATCCTATACATTCACTTGTCTTGTAATGCTACCCTACCACTTTTTTGTGTATAGATTTCTTATTCATCCTTCAAAACCCAGTTCATACATCCCCTTCCTCTAAATTACCCGTTTCTATTTTTTACATATAATCTGTGTTTTTATAGTCAGCAACTAGCAAAGTGTCTTGTGATTCTCAGATGTTTTATGTTTAAAGTGTAATTGTACAAATCTTTAGCAACAGTCTCTCAATTGTCCCTCACAATCTAGCTGTTATTTTCTAAGAACTGAACATAGAGAATTCTACTGTTGTGTCCAGAAGACACACAATAGAGATTTAGCAATTTGATAATTCATTATTGGTGTGAATTTTATTTTGTTTGACTTTCATAGTTTAGTTTTCTCTGATTTATTGAATCATCACCAAATCCTCCATTCATTTTAGTTTGTCTGTAAGACTGGATCCATATATTGTACAAGATTTATCTTTCTCTTATCATTAAACTGAGAAGTATGGAATGCTTTAAGATGTATTAATTTGTTTATCTGTTCAACTAACTTTTAATGAGAGCCTACTGTGTGCCAGACATTGCAGTGGGCACTGAGGAAGAAAATAAAATCCTTGATCTCATTATATTTTAATGGGGAAAGACAGGTACAAATGAATGTGTAGTGTAAATTCACATGGGTATAGTCTGAGAAGAAAAATAAAGGATTAGAGAGTAGACTAACAGGGATTATTTTTGTAGCATCATTAGCAAGGATTTCTCCAAGCAAGTGATATTTGAATGGAGCCTGAATGAAATGAGGGAAATGGCTATGTAAATGTATGTAAAAAGATTGTTCCAGGCATTGTTTGTAGATACAGTGCTAGACCTTGGGATACGTATATATTCTCTGGGTTCTTAGAACTCCAAGACTGTTTTGGTTCAAGCAGGATGAGTGAAGTGAAACTTGTTATTAAGTGGTGACTCATAGCAACTCTGTATCAGGTTTTGAGGCTGGCTTTGTGGGAGCAGAAAGCCTCATCTTTCTTCCACAGTGCAGCTAGTGGTCTTGAACCACTGGCTTTGTGGTTTGCAATCCAGTGCTTATCCTATAGAGCCAACAGCACTCTAGAAGGGAAGATTGTTGTTGATGTTAAATGCTATCGAGAGTTTGTTCCAACTCATAGTGACCCTATATGAGGTTTCTGAGGAGTAGCTTGTGGGTTTGAACTGTTGATGTTGTTGGTCAAACTGACTTCGTGGTCCAGTGCTTTATCCTACAGTGCCACAGAAGGAGATAAAGTAAAAGGCAAGGCAGTAAAAAATTATGTAGGCCTTTGTAGATCATGGTAGGATATTAGGTTTCATGGAGAGTTAAGGGCAAGGAGAGCAGAGGAGTCATATGATCCGATACGCATTTTGAAAAGCTCTTCCGTCTGCTCGAGGGAGCTTGCAGGGAGTAGACCATTGGAAGAGTCAGAAGATTAGACAAGAGGCTGTTGCAACTTTCCATGGAAAACTCTGATGAATAATAGCACAATGATAAACATCAGTCCCATGGGCTCAGGTTTTAATAATTTCTGAATAAACCATTTGTAACTCCAGATAGAATTAAAAAAAAAACAAAACCAAAATAGTAAAGTACATAAATAAGTACAGTAAAAGTTCTATTCCATATTTAAAAATAATGCCTAATTCATAATGACTAATACTACTACTTGTATTTTAAAATAGAGAAAATTTAGTCAAGCATACTTACATGCATTTTAAATTGCTTTAGACTGAATTTGCAACATCAAAAAAAGTGGAGTCTACAAATCAAAACAATGGGCTCTTGTGTGAAGGATCCTTTGATGAACAAGCTTCTGCCAAGTCCTTCCAGGAAGTTTTAAATCAGTGGAGAACTGGAAATCATGATGACAATGAGAAACAGACCTTAAACGCAGCAAAAACAAGTATGGCTATTTTTATAAAATGGATGTTGTAAAATAAAGTTGAATTTGTTTATTTTATTTCCATTCCCTGTGAAAATAAATGCAGTCACGTTGAGATAACAGTTTGATGTAACTCCTGCTAAAAAAGCATGAGTTGTGTGACCACTGTTTTCTTTTAAAGTGCTGTAAAGTATGTTATGACTCATAGCGACTCTGCGGAGGATTTCAGAGGCTGTCAATCTTTAAGGGAGTAGAAACCCTCATCTTTTCTCCACAGAGCAGCTGCTGGGTTTGAACTGCTGACCTTAAGGTTATCAGTCAAAGGCATAACCATTACGCCACCAACACTCCATTGTTTAGTGATTTAATATTCATAGAATCCTGAATTTTGTGTTGGGGACATCAGAATTTGTTAGCCATATAAATTCAGGCTGACGAATGTAAAATTAGATCCCTGCTGTTTCTACTTTACTAGCAGGACATTTAGTACCTTTTTCTAAAAATATGTTTTCTGGAAAATATGTTTCTAGAATCACTTTGAATTATAGGAAAAATAATTATTTTGCCTTCTAATGGTTTTTCTTTTTTGTTAAATATTTAGTATTTTTCAATTTTCCTTGATGCTTTTAACATTTATATTTTGATTATTGAAAATCTTGATGACTGAAGTAAGAATATATTTCCTGTAAGTCTCCAATGTCTATTGAGGAAAATTGTATATTTCTAAAGAATTCAGTAGGTAAATTTCTCAGCACCTTACAAATACTTCTAATTGGTTTTCATTGAAAAATTGTTTTATGATTAATTTAAATCACATATCTTAGTTTACAACATCCTATTTTACTGTTTTATTGAACCCTTTTGCTGTAAATGAACTATCTTGGGATTTATAATTTATAGCATAGTATAGTTCCTAATGAACTGACTCAGTGGCGTTTAACAGCAACAGTAGTTCCTAATGTCAAGATATTGCACACTGTTAGACTGAGTAGTTTACAATAAGATTGAGTATTTTACTAAATAATATTCATACCATGTATTTTTTTATTGTTATGATACATCAATTTCATTAGTATTTCCAAAACTTTCTTTGAACTCTGTCTCTTTGTTTCTCAATATTGACTATTTTAAGTGTTTATTTGTACTTTCTTGTTGTAGAGCCTTTAAAAACTCTTTTCCCCCCTATTTTTAAACGAAGTAATCTAAGTCTTCTACAGAAATACATTTTTTTTGGGGTCTATCTTAAAAGACAGAATACTGACTGAGATAATACCAGTACAGATTTAGAATTAAACAGACTACGAATTCCAAAATAATTTCACTTTTTTAAAATTAAGGAAATAACTATAATATTCTAAAAATAGTATGCTGATTGTTTTAAAACATTCTTCTATAATGAAAAAAGTTATCAAAAAAAAAAAAAAAAAAAAATAGTCTATACTTTCACCTAGATATAGGAGTCATAGTATGACATTGTAGGAGAAGCACTTGACCTCAAGGTCAGTTTGAACCACAAGGTTGGCGGTTCAAACTCACCAGCTGCTCCTCACAAACCCTATACAGGGTCACTAGGCGTCTAAACCAACTAAAGTTCACCTAACAACAGCAATAACAACATCATCTATATAACTAGTCTTAAATTTTTGGTACAGTTTTTTTTTGAAAGAGACACACACACATAATACACACATCCACCCAAATCAGGTAATATAAAATTGCTATTTGTTAAATTGTTTTATTACTTAGATTCTATCATGTAAAACTTTCCATATAAATATACCATCATCTGTAACGATTGCATAGCATTTTTTTTGTGTGTGTATGAATAAAGATTGTCTTAAAGTTTTACTTAATTCTAAACTAGAAATTCCATCACTTGTCTATCAGTTTGTCGTACTGTAGTTGCTTGTGTGATACTGTGATTCTGGAAGCTTAGAATACATTTTCTAGCTCCAGTCTTTGAATATGTAATTTTAAAAAATGTTTTATTGTGAATTATGTGATAGTTTACATAGGAGAACATTAGTTTTACATTCATCCTGTCATATATCGTTTTATTGCCATGGTTGCAATCCCCTCCATGCCTCATCAAGCAACCACCCTGCAAGCCGGCCTCTCCCCTTTACCCCCTCCCCGCTGCTGGTCATCAGCACACAGCCCCTCTCCCTAGCCAGTCTATCTCTCCACCTTATCATCTCTGTCTCTATCTCAGGCATCACTGCTTCTCTGGGTAGGGTCCGGCTCTCTGCTCTTCTCCCTGGATGGTCCCAAGGACCTCTGCTCTTAGACTGCAGAGTTAATCACTCCCCTCCTTGCTATAAAACATCTACCTTTACATTTCCAGCCTTCACAATCAGTCCTGATAACAATTATTCACTATTGTATCACAAGAGACCTGTCCGCATTTCCTTTCATCAGCCCCTCCTAGACTGATTTGATACTAGTCAGTGGAGATTCTACCTTCCTCCACGCCCTCTGGATCTAGGTTTCCTCTTGAAAGCTTGTAAGCCAGTCACTTCTTGCCTTTGTAGCCCCCTCCCCCCCACACACACTTTGGGTAGCCAGTGTCCAGGTTGCTCATCCCTGTCTAATCTGTGTATGGAGGGGGTGGGAATGATCCTTGCTGTATAGATTTCTTCCCTCTTTTGAGCTACTGTATCCATAGGTTTAGGTCAAGTTCATCAGATTGTTTCAGATTACTCTTTTTTCCCCCTCTTCTTTCTTTTTCTAGTTGAGCTCTGATCATCCAATCATTGAATCCAGGTCAAGTAGGTATTATTTGCAAGTGTGGGTGTTCTTATGCATATGCCCTCTCTTGTTACCAGCTGGATGCTTCACTCTCCATTCTAGTCCTCTGTGACTATGTCACTGACTCTGGGCCCAAGAGTCCCCAGGTCTTGCCACACTGCTGGCCAACCAGGTCTCCACCAGTGTTCACAGGAGTCTATTGAACGTTGTAGGGCTTAGATCACAGCTTCATTGCTGTTTTTCCCTCACTTCCCCTTATCTGTGATGAACGTGGTCACCAATCAAAGTGTGTATTCCCATTGAGTCTTAGTCTTGGAAGGAGGTTTCCTCTGAGGGGACCCAACCACTTGCCTTGATGTCTCCTGGGTTAGCAACTTGCTTGTTCTTTTAGTAATCAGTAGGTCTGCCTATATTGTTTTGCATTTTTCCTGTCAGTCCGTTCTAGCTGCTCCAGGCTGGTCTGCTTGTCCTTTTAAGTCGAAATTTCCCTCCTCTGTAGATTCTGAATTGATTGTTTAGCATTTTGTATGCCATAATTTACTTGACCAGACTTTTGTTGATAGATATTTTATTGCTAATTCTCACTATTATTAAAAGAAAAGAAGTTATAATGGTTGTTGATAGCTATGTAGATGTAGATATGTTGAGTCAAAGGGTATGTATGGTGGTGGTGTTGTTAAGTGCCATAGAGTCATAGTGACCTTGTATAGGGTTTCAGAGGCTTTGTAAACATTTGCAGGAGAGACACCTTCATTCTTCCTCCTGTGGAGTGGCTGGTGGGTTCAAATCACTGACTTGTGGATCACAGTCCAATGCTTATACTATGACTATGGAGCCATTGTTGTTATGTGCCATCAAGTCACAGCAGCCCTGTATGGGGTTTCCTAAGAGCAGCTGGTGTGTTTGAACCTTGTGGTTCAAACTGACCTTAAGATCCAGTGCTTATCTCTCTCTCTCTCTCTCTCTCTCTTTCTATATATATATATACATATATACACACACATACACGTGTGTGTCATTTCAAGATTATAAAATTATTTTCTGAAACAATTAGTGTAGCAGTTTTACTCCCACTGACAGTGTTTGAGAAGGCTCTGTGATAGTTACTGCCCATTTTTCCTATGTTGAGATCCTAATTCTTCACCTTTAGCTGGCTTAGTAGATAATAAGTAATTATTTTAGCTGTTATTTCACCACTTGATTGTGAAATAATTATTGACTATTTTCTTAATATCTTTCGTTTTTATCTTCTGCTAATATTGGCACAAGTACTGTTTTAAATTCTTAAGATGTGAAACATTCTTCTCTTATGATCCTTAAGAGTCTAAGTAAGGATGGAAAAGTGCAATACTACTCCAGGTGAATAGAGCGTGCATTCAAGTATGTGCAGCGTCTTGTCTATTTGTATCATATGAGTTACTAAACAAGTATGGGAATAGATTTTTAAACTGCTAGATTAAGTAAGATTAGATCAGGTTGAATTTATCAATATAAATAGACTCACCCAGGATTTGCAGTTTAATGTGTTAGCTCAAGTACTTTAGGAATGGCATTAGCAATCTGCTAGGTTGGTTAAATGGAGTTTGGTTCAGTGGTGGTTTTAGAAACAGTGAGGTTAAGATGCTGGAACTTCCTTAACATTTTATGAGAAGGAGTTTAAAGGCATTTACAGATGGGGATGTTGGAATTATGTACTACCTACCTCGTGCTGTGGTAGCATAGTGGTTACAAATCGGGCTGCGAACCGCAAGATCAGCAGTTCGAAACTACCAGCTGTTCTGTGGGAGAAAGATGAGGCTTTCTGCTCCCATAAAGATTTACAGCCTCGGAAACCCTGTACAGGGTTGCTATGAGTCAGAACCAGCACATAGCAACAACAACAATAACAACAACAACCTTGCGCTGTCGGTTAATGCCCCAGACTGCAAAGCTCTATGAACTGAAAGCTCGGCAGTTCAAGCTCACCAGTCACTCCTCGTAAACCCTGTACAGGGTCATTATGAGTTGGAACCGACTCAATGGCACTGAACAACAACAACAACAACCCAGCCATACTGTTACCATACCCTCCAGAAAGACTCAGAGGTCCCTCCTAACTCCAAGGCATTAAGAACTAGTATTTTTAAAACGTTCAACTTGTTTTTCCTCTGTAGGCTGCGGATGATTGAAGACAGAGACACTTCACAGGAATTGAGTTGCTAGAGTCTAGCAAATATTTATCAAAGATATGATGGACAAATTACCAAAATAAAGTGCAGGGAAGAGGTTGACTG